CAATTGGAGTTACGGGTTAATAAAAACCAAATCTGTTTTCATGTTATTATTTGTAAACATTTCTTTAGTTCGACGAATAAAAAAACCCAAAAAAATGGTCAAGAAAAATGTATTGAGCCAAATTTTCGTGAGAAGAACGAAGTTCTTAAGGAATTTGCTACGCTTTCAACTGTGGTTTACTAAAATTTGTTTCTGAAGAGTACAAGGCACCCTTGTTTTCAACAGAAATATACCTATGCCCGTTCCATTAATTCGTAAGGAAAAAGTGAGACAGCAGGCTGTAAAATATCAGAGGTCAAAACTCCTCGGATACTACTATTCACACACACGAAATATAGCAATTTAATTCTTGACTGTACTTAGCTTTATACATTGAAATAAGCAAAATAAGCAATTCCAAGCAAAAGCTTGAACTTTTCGGCCCTGTAGCTCGTTTCGGTAACAATTCTCTACCAAGGCGAATTCATATATGAATTCGACGCCTTGATCTCTACTGCTAATGAGTAGTAGAGAATGATGAATATTCTCTACCGGTAGAGAAGAGTTACAGAAACGAGCTACTGTTTATGACACTGTGCTCAGGTTTTGAACTTTTTTCCCTTCCCTTTCGTTTCGACAAAAACTACATACGAAAGGATGTAGTAAAATTTTATTTTGACAGACAAAAACAAAAACATAAAAACATGAGATCATGAGATCATTACAACGTACACCAACAAAACAAATTAACTTATCACAACTAAAGCACAGAGAATTTTTCACAATGCACGCAATTTTTATTCTTTATAAAAATAAAGTTTATACTACATCAAAAAACATAAAAATAAAATTTCTAAACTTTGTGCAAAACTCGGGAAAATTCAATAAATTCGCATACAAATTTGCAACTCTCTAACCAGACATTCTATAAAAATTTTGAAAATGAAGTTTTGTAGCAAATTAAATTTTAGTTGATTTTAGGTATTGTTTTTACTGAGAGTTTCTTTCATACAAACTATGTTCGACAATTCGTTTTAAATGGAAGACACTGTCAGCAAAAAAAAAATTGCTAATAATCAACGAAATTTTCTGGCAACTTCAGACTTGTAATTGGCTGAAAAGCTACATTTTCCAAATTTTTCTAAAATATCTGATTAGAAATTCTGGTCTGATTAAAGAGTCTCCGAGCCAATAATTTTGTACGGCACTGTACTTATAAGTAAATACTCTAGGTTTCATGAAAGAAAAAAAATGTAAGTACAAGATAACCAGTGTCGCCATTTTAGCCGTTTTCCGGCAAACAGCCGGAGAAATTTCGGTTTAGCCGGCAGCCGATTTGTTAGCCGTTTTGTAAAAAAAAAATTAGCCGTTTTTAGCCGATTTTGCTATTTGCCTTATTTTCTTAAAATTCAAATACAGTATACTTTGCTTAGCTGCCCATCCTTCTTTGTACGAAAAACTTGCGCGCTTAACCGAAAAAAGCACTGAAACGAATTTTCTTTACTACTTCAATGAGGAAGGTATCCGAATCCCTATGAAACCAAATAATGGAAGAGCACTTAACACGTAGAAGTTACTGCAAGAGAAACTTGTTTCCGAATGGTATCTAATTATCAATATAAATACATAAAATGACAGCCGTTTTCGTTGTTCTGCGAGATGAGCAAAATAAATAAAAGCTTGAAAAATTTGGGTAAGTGTAGAGCCAGTGCATGTAAACGTAATAGTTTCTTCGATAATTGATAATAGTTGCAAATTTTTAAGGTAGTTTCCTTATAAATGTAAAAAATAATGCCGCTGATGCGCATTTTGGGGTAGGCAGCAAAGCAAAATATACTGTATACATGTTTCCATTTTCGACTAAGCGACCCAAAATCTGTTAGAAATGGCTATTAGCCTTATCGCGGAGAAAATCTTCATGTCAGGCAGGGTTATATAAAATTGGACCGATTTCGCTTATTTTTATTTTAAACGAATATATTTTTTCTAAAGAAGGCCGTAGCGGGGATTTTCTTCATAAACTGTTTGTTATGAATGTATTAATTTTAAGTGTGAAGTTTTATTCGCAAACTTAGAAAATAACAAATTGTTTGACTGTTTGCTTAACACGCGTTTGTGTTTGGATATAGTGCCAACACATAGAATAAATATTACAGGTAGATATTGTCTTCCCAGATAGCGCATATTCAATTCTACCTTAATTACAAAACATCATTGCTGCCAACTCCTAAAGGTTTAAGACAGAGATGGGTACATTTGCCAGTAGTGGCTTTTTTTCGTACAGGAAAGCGAGCCCATTTCGCGGGCTAGATCCCAAGGAAATCACGGGCAAACATGAAGAGCCCACACGGTTAAAAATTTCGGTTTTAATTTTAAACTTTTTGGACTACATATATGACCAAACTAAATTCAGTTTCAAATACAAACCTTCCAAGTTTAAAAAAAAGAGAGCACATATGTTGGGTTTAAAATTTAAACAATTCGGTTTAAATGTTAAAGCCAAACATTTTCATAATTACGAATAAAAAAAAAACAATCTTAAATTTCATGCTCCGTCTTGTTGGGATTGAACCCGGACAGCCTTGGTAGCAACCAATTGTATCAAGCATCTTTGCACACTCAGCTACAGCCACGCATGTAATGTGCTTTATTTGAAAGAAAAATCAACTGAATTAAATTAAACTATTAAACTAAAAAAATTGTTTTTAATTTTCTAGCAATTTTGAGCATCGTTTTGCAGTTCGCTGGTATATCGTTTTTGCGACCCGCCGGCGAGTCGTTTTTGCGACCTGCCGGCGAGTGAATGGAAAATTTAAAAATTATAAACCTCATTCTTAAGCGAGGAATAAGTAATGAAAACTGAATAGAAAAAAATTGTTGATTTAAAATTGAAAATGATTTCACACTTACAGTGGGATAAACTTAAAACTTCTATATAAATTAGTTAAACTTAGTTAAGATTTTTTTTATTACTTTTAAGTTTTCGTTTGGAATAATTTTCATGGAGAGATTAAGAGATCTTTTTAGAAAATTGCAGTACATCCGATATCTATTAAAATTTTTACATCCTCACTTTTTGGAAAAAGAAGTTCAAGATACAAGTTTATGTGCCAAAAATAAATTAAACAATAAAAGTCTCCTAATATATATGGAACATATAATAAAAAAANTTAAACGAATATATTTTTTCTAAAGAAGGCCGTAGCGGGGATTTTCTTCATAAACTGTTTGTTATGAATGTATTAATTTTAAGTGTGAAGTTTTATTCGCAAACTTAGAAAATAACAAATTGTTTGACTGTTTGCTTAACACGCGTTTGTGTTTGGATATAGTGCCAACACATAGAATAAATATTACAGGTAGATATTGTCTTCCCAGATAGCGCATATTCAATTCTACCTTAATTACAAAACATCATTGCTGCCAACTCCTAAAGGTTTAAGACAGAGATGGGTACATTTGCCAGTAGTGGCTTTTTTTCGTACAGGAAAGCGAGCCCATTTCGCGGGCTAGATCCCAAGGAAATCACGGGCAAACATGAAGAGCCCACACGGTTAAAAATTTCGGTTTTAATTTTAAACTTTTTGGACTACATATATGACCAAACTAAATTCAGTTTCAAATACAAACCTTCCAAGTTTAAAAAAAAGAGAGCACATATGTTGGGTTTAAAATTTAAACAATTCGGTTTAAATGTTAAAGCCAAACATTTTCATAATTACGAATAAAAAAAAAACAATCTTAAATTTCATGCTCCGTCTTGTTGGGATTGAACCCGGACAGCCTTGGTAGCAACCAATTGTATCAAGCATCTTTGCACACTCAGCTACAGCCACGCATGTAATGTGCTTTATTTGAAAGAAAAATCAACTGAATTAAATTAAACTATTAAACTAAAAAAATTGTTTTTAATTTTCTAGCAATTTTGAGCATCGTTTTGCAGTTCGCTGGTATATCGTTTTTGCGACCCGCCGGCGAGTCGTTTTTGCGACCTGCCGGCGAGTGAATGGAAAATTTAAAAATTATAAACCTCATTCTTAAGCGAGGAATAAGTAATGAAAACTGAATAGAAAAAAATTGTTGATTTAAAATTGAAAATGATTTCACACTTACAGTGGGATAAACTTAAAACTTCTATATAAATTAGTTAAACTTAGTTAAGATTTTTTTTATTACTTTTAAGTTTTCGTTTGGAATAATTTTCATGGAGAGATTAAGAGATCTTTTTAGAAAATTGCAGTACATCCGATATCTATTAAAATTTTTACATCCTCACTTTTTGGAAAAAGAAGTTCAAGATACAAGTTTATGTGCCAAAAATAAATTAAACAATAAAAGTCTCCTAATATATATGGAACATATAATAAAAAAATTTGTATTTCATTACCCAGAATTTATGAATAGCCTACTCTATAAGTAATAGTAGAAATTCTGAAATAGTAAGTTCAGTCAAGACGTCATTCAAAAGTTTAGAAGATAATCACTTTTCTCTTTTGTGAAAATTTGGGACTATCTTATGCGAGTATTGTCGACAAAATATTAGTCTATGAATGATTAAAGATTAACGAATAAATGGTTAATCGCGAATAATGATTAAAATTAATTAAGCGATCGCTGTGGTGTAGTGGTTAGAAGTGCGCACTGCGCACTACCATTCCGCAGAGTGCGGGTTCGAGCCCAGTTCCGGCCAACATAAAAAAAGAAAAATTTTTTTGTAATATGAGTCGGCGTAAAACTTTAGGTCCCTCCCCTTTGTGCGACAACATCAAGGCGCACTCATATCGCTCATTTGCTGCAAGACCGGCATAACTCAAAAAACGTGATTTTTGAGTTAATGATGTAGAATTATTCGTTATACCATACTTCATGTTGTGTAAAAAATTCATAATAATATCTCTTACACACTCTTATACACTCCGCTTAAGAAGAATATGCCGTTATTTCATTTCATCTGTTTCAACTTTTTTTATACGTAAGAGCGACATAACTCAGTTGTGCCACTGCTGCCGTCGTGTTAAGATCGTTTGGCTTTCTCAAACAGAGGCATATTTTGTGTTGTGGCGTTCTTTGTGAAAAGGTAATGGTATTTTTAATCTAGATTATTTCAAGTAGACAGCGCTAATTTGAGTTATGACTATGTTGTTGAAAATTTTGATTTAATTCAAACTTGGTATAGTACAAAATATGACGTTCTTGTTGATAAAAGTACTATCGTCAACATAAGAATTTCGTGTTATGCGGTTATTACATATAAAAGAATGACTATTAAACAGTCAGCCTTTTACATTATAACAAAATGTGTCGTTGTTGAACATAGCATTATTTACAGTAACAATAAATAGCTCTCACTAACACAAAATACGACGCTATTGCTGATAAAAATTATAGCTATATATGAATAAAACGCACGATCACATTAATAAAAGTTGTGTTTTAGCTTATTTTAAAATGCCAAACTGCAACAGCAGCAAATCCTCATCGTCAACTTCATCTTCGAGTTTATCCCGATCATCCTCTTTTTCGGAAGACTGTGACGACTCCATGGCTGCTGTAACATACTGCCCAAAATCACCACAGCAAGAAAGTGATAGCGAGGATAGCAACGATGAAACATTTAATCCATCAGCCAATTCTACGACTGTATTCCGCCCACTTTTGGAGAATTTTCCGCGTGACACCGCTAGTACAGTTGTGCAGCAAAGTGTTGATAGCACATCAATTTCTTACGCGGCACCATCACTCAGTAATTCACAACCTGGCACTTCAACTTCAAAAATGGTAAGTTCTTCCATAATTCCAAATAGTCCATTGAAAAAGGGGAAAAAAGAGCAAAACAGCCAGAAAAATGGAAGAGAAAAATCATAAAAAGAAAAGAAATAGTGGAATGGAGTATGAATCACACACGCTGATGAAAAAAGTTAAACCTGCAAGACAAATGAAAACTCCATGTACTGAGACTTGTAAGCTCGAATGTTACAAAAATTTTAGTGATGACGAACGAAAACATTTGTTTAACTTATGCTGGGCCCTTGGTGACATAGAAAAGCAAAGACAATATATCGAGATACCGGTACATGCGCATCGGGGGCACCAGAGGCCCTCGCCAAAATAATAATGGGTTTTTTTTTCAAACAAGGTGATGAGGTTGTGCGCGTTTGCAAACTGTTTTTTAAAAACACCCTGGCTATCACCGATCGTTCAATTAGAACCGTATTGGATAAGCATCAAAAACTCGCTAACCAAATATTAGAACCCGACCAAAGAGGTAAACACGGGAAACAGAAAAAACTTGATCCTAAATTAAAAGCTGGAATTAAGGAATTCGTAGATAAAATACCAAAAATTGAAAGTCATTACACCAGAGCAAACACATCCAAAACCTTTATTGAAGGAAGCAAAAGCGTAACAAGCATATGGGTGTTTCCAGCGGAAGGTCAACCACGACAAAAAAATAAAAGTTTTATATGTAACGTATTTACGGGCCGATTTGTCTGCTTTTTAAAATATATACTGGCTATGTAAGAAGAATAATGATTGCATAAATTGGTCTTCCTAGGTGGTGCCAAGGTCGAGATATTTCGAAAAACCGTATTTATGGTCCGATTTGGTTCGAATTTGGCGCATGTGGTTGAAACATAATAAATCATAGATTTCTAATAAATTGACCCTGAATTGGCGCTGAAGTCAAAATATAAGGTATATTCTACATAAAATACATGTTTTATTTGCGTTGAAAATTCATTTAAAAGCAATATTAACAAAAATATAACGATGGAAATTTATGTCACGTCACGCCACGTCACGTTTCACACTTGGGGTTGTAAAAGAGAATTGAAACAATTTGCATTAATTCAAAAAACTCTAAAAACAACTAGAATTGCTCCAAATCATATCAAAATAAGTTTCATCAAAATAGCCATCCACAATTCGCAGAGTTTTGCGATTTTGTAAGAAAAGAAAAAATCAACTTCCATTTTTTGTCACGTAACGAACCTCTCTTTAAATGCTTATATTTCAGGACCAAGCAGTTCGATTGATTTAATTTTTCGGTTAAATATAGAGCTAATTACGTGCTATACAATGGCCCAAAAAAGTTAAAGAAAACAAATGGTATTCCTTTTTTGTATCACATTGAAATCGTACGACTGTCACGTGCGCCACCATGGGAATGCCCATATATAACGATTAAATACGTAGACATGTGTAAAGAAAAAAAAAATGAGCCGTTTTGCAACTACATTTATTTCTATAGAACTTTTACGAAGGACTTCAACATCTCATTTTTCGTCCCAAAAAAGATTTGTGTGAAGAATGTACATCATAGAGTAACATGGATGAAGTGGAGAAAATTAATATGAAAGAAATGTATGAAAATCACTTGCATGAAAAAAATTTGTCATGAGATGAAAAAAGAAAAGACAAAGAAGATATGAACGTATTTGTAGCAGTGTATGATTTACAAGCTGTCATGCAATTACCTAAGGGCGATGTCTCCGCATTTTATTACAAGTCAAAACTAAATGTTTTCAACTTCACTATATATGACATAAAAACGAATAAATGCCAATGCTTTGTATGGGACGAAGCCAATGGACGCCGTGGAGTTAATGAATTAGGTACGTGCGGACAGCAAAAAAACAAATTCATGATTGCCATGTACTTATACGTCGTGCGCTATTTGGGTATAAAATCAATCACCCACAAGTACCTTATCTAAGGTCATACACAAAATGAAAGCGATTCAGCTCATTCCTTAATCGAGAGAGAAACCAAGCGTATGCTTAAAAGTGATCCCATTTATATAACTGAAGGATTTGTATCAATAATCCGATCGGCAAAGAAAAGAGGAGACCCATTTAATGTTAACGAGCTATGTTTTCAGGATTTTTTAGATTTAAAAATACTGGCAAATGACATCGCACAGTGTTGCGAAACCGGAATTTTTTGGAAATCATATTGCCTAAACTGTAATTTTAATTGTATCGATGAGAAACTTCTACAGATTGGTCAGAATGAAATCCCAAACAGAATGAGTGAAAAAAAATTTACACCGAAAAAAATTGTTGGGTCAAATTTTCAACAAAAGTCAAAAAAAAAAAATAATTGTTCGAAAAATTTACAAAAAAAATTTATTTTAATTGTTCTTTTATTTCTGATAAATACTCTATGATTAGTTTTTTAAATAAACTATAGGGTGGTCCGAACAAGAATTATAAACGTCAAATTTTCATGATTTTTCGATATTTTTTGAAAAACTCTGAAATTTTATATAAAACCAAAATCTATTTCATTTCTTATTTGAAAGGTGGCAATAAAAGCTTTAATTTGATACCGGTTTGAAGTCAATAGCTTCAGTTTTAAGAGAGTTATGCTCATTTTTGTGGAGTGCTAGAATAGATGTAGAATAAAAAAAAAAAAACACAAAATAAAAACAATACAAATAAGCGCGCAATAACGGATTATTTCACCCACCTACCTAGACGTAAAAACGGGAGAAGGGGCGAAGAGAGAGAGAGCGAAAGAGAGAGAATAAAATAGTAAAACAACAGAGAGAGAGAAAGGTACCACCTCAGAGCTAAAAGAAAACACTATATAAAGACGGACACACATGCGGACTAATTAGTGACAAAAAAGAAAACACTGAAGATGGCGATTAGCCGAAACCGGTCTGAAAATAATAAAAATTTGACTGTGGGATGACGGAAAGTCACCCGAAAACCAATATGATTAAATTATTCAATAAGTGATTCCGAGAATTTCCGTTCTATTTCTATGGAATAAATACTGAGAGTGATATACTAAAATCGCTATAACTCCCAGGAGGGCAGGTATGGGCAGCTGATTTTTTCACAGTTCGTTGAAAACAAATTATGTAACATTTCTGTAGTGGTTTGGAACTGGGACTCTCTGGGACTTTTTAGATATTGCTTACCTAACCCAAATTTAAAGGAAAAATGGACTTTAGTCGGGTTTTCGCTCTAAAAAAGGTGCATATGAAAATGTCTCAAACAACATTCCTTTTTTTTACAGAAGATACTTGTCCGAAGGCAGATTTTTTTTCCGAATCAAAATATCTGTCACCAAAATCAAATGAGATCATTTTGAATACAGCCCTGAAATCCCCTCTTTTCGTGAAAATTTTGTATATTTGACTTCTAAAATCAATTAAAAATCAACGGGCCAACATAAAAATAAGCTTTATGTGTTTTTTGTTTACTTGGAATGTCTGTGACAAAATTGCATCATTAAAAACACTGAAAAAAATAATCGGAAAAAAGTTACTTTTCCACTAGCCGCAACACAGTGCATCGGTCCATTAAATATGGCAGATTTGAAACTGTCGCTAGTAAAAACAATTCGAGTTCAACGAGAATCACCAAATTCTGTTTTTTATAAGACCGCTTACGCTGACGAAAAAAAGTTCAAGGAGGCGATTGTTATTAAAAAAAATGCAAGCAAAAGCGATTTCTTTAAACAAAGCTTTTCATACCAAGCCAGGTATACCAGCAAATAAGAGAGCCGATATTAATGACTTGATTAAAAAAAACTTATTCCAAATTTGTATAACCATTTTATGATAATTTGTAAAAATTTCATAGTCAGACTTTCGTTACCAATATATTTTGGTATTTAGTTATTATTTTTTAATTACTTAAAGTAGAAAATTTACATTTTTCGTTTGTGAATTATATCTTAAGAAGAAAAGATGTTGAAGAGTTCCTTAATATTTTAAGTTCAAAAGACTGTTTCTATGAATTATATTTATTTTATGTTTTTTATGACATACATACATAAGTACAGAATATGTATATTTGAAGTTCAAAAGACTGAAAATAAAATGTATTAATACGAACTTATTGTTTTTTTTTCTCAACAATAACGACACATTATAACTTATGACACTCTATTGAATATATTTTTGCAACAATAACGTCATAATGCAAAGGAGAGTTAGTTCTTATTCAGGAAAAAAACATAAATGGCTACTTGGTGTTGATTTTCCTTTATGGATATGTTAAATATATTATAGTGAATTGGTTTATTTTGAAATTAGAGGATTTCCTCTTTTCTGTGTAAGGTGAAAGTCAATTGAAAAGTTTAAACGCGTTTTCTGCAAAATCGATTTTTTTGACTTATGCCGGTCTTGCAGCAAATGAGCGATATGTCGATGGTCCTCTGCAATAACGGCACAATTCAAAATTTCAGGTTTAGAAAAAGACAAAGGCAAATAATCCGGAATAATTATGTTCCAAGACATAATATTGCTAAATTACGAAGCAAAAAATCTTTAATTGGCTCTACTGAAATATATGAAATTTTGAGTTGTGTCGTTATTGCAGAGAACCATCGATATGTAAGCGCCTTTCTATTATTACTAGAGTGCCAGTTACTGTCGAAATTCGACAGTTTTTCTAGTTCTAGAAGCCTTGGAGAGGTGTTCTAACTTAACACGTAGCAAAACTTATACGGTACAAATTAACTAACCGGAAAATCTTCTGCTTTGGAACTAAAACGTAATAGCCCGAACACAATGAAAACGACGAGCTACGGTCTCCAGCTGTCAAATTATTTTAACACGTACTCTTATGTAGATAATTATTTTGGCGACGACCGGNTGTGGTTGTAGCCAGATTAGATCTATTTCTATTTTTCCGGCGACAGATAAGGTTCTTCCTCTTCTTTTATGTCAAACTCATACAAATTCATGATGTCGCTGCCGCGTTCAAAAAAATCATGTCGCCATCGACAAAGCGTTTAGATAATGAAGATAACAAAGTGGAAGCTGTGGCCCGTAGCTCGTCGTTTTCAATGTGTTCAGAACTTAACTAAAATTTTTTTATCTGAGAAGGTCTTTGGAGGACTTCAGCGGGACTTGGAATTGACCCGATACATTCAAGTTTATCGATAAATTTCAATGATTTGATACATATCGATAGTTCGA